CCTCCCCGGGCCCTGAGTCCCAGGACCGTCGCGGTGGCCGGGTTCGCCCGTGGGTCCCAGGCAGCGTTGTGTGCTGCGATATTTTTAAGCCGCGGTGGATGAGTCACCCACCCCCTCGGTGATCCCCACCCAGCCCCGGGGCTCAAGGGGGAGTCCCCGCATCAGGGGGAGGACATGGCCAGGGTCTTCTCCATTCCTGTGGAGGCCCAGGGCCTCGACGGGGGCCAGCGCACCTCCTGGGCCCTGTAGGTCGTCAGTAGGCCCTCCCCAGAGTCCAGCCCAGAAGGCAATCCAGGGCCAGGAAACACCCGGCTGGGTCAGGCTCCGGGTCAAAGCTGGGGTGTGGGTTTCAGGGGTGGGGAGGCTGGGCCGCAGCTGAAGGAACCCTGCTAGGCCTCCTCAGAGAATAGGCTGGCCAGGACCTGAGGGTGTCCGACCTGTGGCTATCTAGGTTCCTGATCCCTGGGCCAGGCTGGCCTGGGCTGTTCGTTTGCATGGGGTGACCCCCGTGGCAGGAGAGGAGGGGCCCTGACCCTAATCCTATCCCCTAACCTGGGTACAGCCCTCATTCACTGTGCTGGAAGACAGGGTCCTGCCGGGAGCCCACTCCTCCCTGCCTGGCCCCTCTGCAGCCTCATTCCAAGCCCAGGCTACTCCTGAACCTGCTAGGTCCAGGCCCTGTTGGCACAGTGCTCCCACTTTTCCTGGTCATCTGCCTGCCTTGGTCTCCCCAAGTGCACCACTGCCTCCCTACCCTAAGTGTGCCAGCTTCATCTTTCCTTCCTCCCCTCTCATCTGTACAGGCTGTTCCCCAGACTGTTTCCAGACAAGGTTTCAGCCCAGGGACCCAGGGACTCCACCACTCCAGAGCCCCACCCAACTCCCATGAGGGCAGCCAGGAGCCCCAGTGACCAAGCTGACCCCTCCCCAAGGTCACTCCTTGTGTGTAGACTGGAATTTGAACTTGGAGCCAGTTCCTCCTTCCTTGCTGCCCTGATAGAGCCTCCTCCCCTCCACTGCCCAACACCAGGCACCTAGCAGGCTGGACCCTCCCTTCAGACACTGCGCTTCTGACGCAGTAAAACCGAAGTGTGGCCTGACCCCCAGAGCCCGGGGCTGGGACTGGGCAGCCCCCTCCCCTGGCTCACGGGCTTCCCTGCTACACCCCAGTTGAAGCCCTTGGGGACAGCCCCTTTGTCACCCCTCCCCCTGCCTGGGTGCAAGGTCAGCCTAGACTTCCTTGGGGAGAGCTGCATGTCCCAGCCTGTGCATGCTGTGGGCCTGGAAGACTGGGTCTATGGGAGTTTGTTTTGCCCAGGTGTGTGTACCTGGACCCACGTGCCAAGGCTTTGGTCTGGCCTGTCAGGAATCCCATTAAGCAAACACTCAGACTCACCCACTGAGTTCCTGAGCATTCCAGACATTCTCCATGGATGGGTGGACTCTGGCCAGGCCCACTCTGGCAAGCCAGAGCCCTTAGAGGCTTGTGGAAAGTGTGCACCCCAGCCAGACCAGGGCAGTGGTCAAGGCCGGTAGAGTTCCCAGACCTCCTAGGAGCACCCCCTAACCTGGTCAGACTAGAAAGTCTTGGGTGCTCCAGCCTGCCCCTCCACACCAGCACCTTGCACACCCAAACAATGAGGCAGGAGTGGATGAGCTCAAAGTTGATATGTGTGGACCCAAGTGGAGCTGTGAAGAGCCATGGAAGGACACGGAGCAAGGACGCAGGGCAGCCATGCTCTGGAAGTCCCCAGAGGACACAGACCCACACAGTGTCAGACTGATCCAGGCCAACAGCTCTGCTCACCCCCAGGAAGGACCCAGGGTCCTGCCCAGATCACACTCCTGGTTGTTTCATCAGTTAGGCCTCAGTTTCCCCAAAATGTGACTGGCAAAACATCAGGGCTAGGGGCCTGGGATTTAGCTCAATGGCACCACATCTGCCTGGGAAGCACAAGGTCCTGAGTTCAATTCCTGGTACAAAAAAAAGAGGTCAGGGCTGGACATTTAGCCCAGGAGAGTAGCTATCCTGGCTCTGCCCCGGAGAGGCGGGGGTGTCAACTACCCCTGAGAATCTTAACCCCACACCCTCCTCTGCCCTTGAGTCCCCACCATGCCCTCCCTGCACAGCCCAGACTAGCTTCTGAGTACCCAAGACCCCCGGATACCCTGCCACATGGCCCAGAGGGAGCTAAGCACCAGCCTCATTGCTAGGGCCTGGAGAAGCTTCCGGCAGGGGCTCCAGGTCCACAGGCCTGTGCAGGGGTCTTGGGTAGAGGCCTGGGTGAGGGATGTGGCTTGGGCTCTTTCTGCCCTTTCTGCTCCCTCCGCAGGCTGCAGCCTCACCTTCTCCTGCCCTCCTCCCCTGCTGGTTCCCATCCCTTCAGGGGTCCCAGACCCCTCCCCAGAGCTACCCAGGCAGCCCCTCCGGACATCCACGTGGAAGATGAAAGTCCGGGGCAAGATGTTACTTGTGGCTACCGGCTGGGACACGGGCAGAGCTGTGCCTGAGGACCCCCAGGAATCTGGCCAGGTCACTAGACTCCAGTGCCTGTACCTGAGAGAGAAAGCTAGGCCACCCAGGCCAGGAGGAGGTGCCAGCTCCATCACCTCTGTCTTCTCAGGTGTGGGCCGGACAGGGGGCCAGACACTGGGTTCTGTCTTCTCAGCTGCAGGCCAGCACCAAGGACACAATGAGCCACTCGGGGCCCATGAGCTGCTGCCCGGGTTCTACTAAGTAAGCCCCCCATACCCCCAGTCCCGAGGAAGGGAGTGCTGGGCACTGCCCTCACCTGCCTCTCCCCACAGTGGCAGCCTGGGCCGGTCTGACGGTGTGGCCAAGATGAGTGCCAAGGACCTGTTTGGTGAGTGAGGTTTGAGAATGGCTTAGATGTGGGGGAAGTCGGGGCTGTGCCCAGGCCCTGACCCAGTGCGGCCCCAGCCTGGTCAGCCCTGGGTCCCCGAGGAGACCTCTGGACCTAAGCCACTTGTGGCTTCCGAATTTCATCCCCAAAGCTCTGGACACTGAACACCCCTCCCCCCAGACGTAAGGGGAGAGGCCTTTATGAATAATTCAGGGAGCATCAGTATTGATTCCGTTGCCGTGCTCCTCTGCACCGCGATCGAGGTGGTTCAGGCAGGACCCAGTTGCCAGGTGTCTGCTCCAGGAGGAGGCTGGCCACCCCTGCCACAGCCATGCTCCTCCCAGCCAACCGGCACACCCCTACCCCGGCTCTAGCTCTGCGCCAGCTACGCCCATCGGTTGTGGGGACTTCACTGAACGCTGGCCCAACCTTGCCCCTCCTTGGCCATGCCGCTGCACTAACACCTCGCTGGGGGGGTTCCCCGCCCCGAGTTTGTACCCTTCAATAGAGGCCGAGAGGCCCCAGCTCAGGGCTCTCTGTGGGGAAGTCCTGGCTGAGCTCCCCCTCCTCAGGAAGGTGGAATGGGGTAGGGCATCCTGTATGGGGTGTGGCTGAGACTCCTGTACCCCAGCCCACATTATTCTGGTAACAGGCTGCCAGTCACCACGCTGAGTAGCCCAGGGTGTCCGAGGGCTTCCCGCCAGTCCTGTCCCAGGAGCTCCTGGCTGGCATTGCACACCCTGGGTTCCTTCTTTCTTCCTGCTGGCTGGGAGGGGCCCTAGCCTCCACCCCACCCTCCTTGCGGCCCCTGCACCAGGGGCTTTGGGTCCTGCTGTGGAGTGAAAGGACTGCCTTCTCCCATCCAGAGCAGAGGAAGAAGTATTCCAACTCCAACATCATCATGCACGAGACCTCCCAGTACCATGTCCAGGTGAGACCCCAGTCCAGGGAACAGGGAGGGCCACCGCCAGGGGACACCCTCAGAGTCCCAGGCTCAGGTATAGAGGGGATACAGCTGCTCCAGTCCCACAGAGCTCATGGTGGGCCACAGGAAGCCCACCCCGGGGAGTTGGTGCTGGGGAGACACCCTGGGGACTGGACAACCCTGGCCAGGAAAAGCGGGCGGGAAGGAAGTTGTCATCCTGGTCCCCAAACAGGGAACTGGATTAGGAGGAGATGCTGGAACAAAGGGGCCCTTTATTGAGAGCACTTTAGCTGAGTCCAGACCGGTAACCCGCACCCTGTGGACCAACTGCCAGCTCAGGGGAGCCACCACCTGGACTCATTTTAAGTCTCATTCAGAACCGAGGAAATATGCTCTTTCAATGGCTTTCCTGCACCTGGGAGTGGCAGGGTTGCTGGTTGTGACTAAGCCTGTGGAACCACAGGGTGAGGAATGACAGGAAAGTCTAGCGCGAGGGGTGAAGGGCACCCCTGCTGCACTAGCTCTAACTGCAAGTCTCCTGTCCCTGGCTGGAGTCCACACCCCGCAGCACTCGCTGAGCCTCAGCCCTCTGACTGGACTGAGGGTCCATAGAGCCCGCAGGAATCTGCTCAGATCTGGAGGCCAGCATGTTGGGGCGACCAAGGCTTCCCTACTGCCATCTCGGTACCCTGGGCAGGACACAGAGCTGTGAACAGGGCAGCTTTGGCTCTTCCTTAGTGGAAGCTCTGCCCCTTTCTCAGGAGTGGGACTTTGTCTTCCTTATTGTGCAGCCATTGCAGCCTCCCTGCCTGGCTCCTGAACTTTGGTCCCAGCTGGCCTTGCTTGGCTCAGCTGTTGCAGGGACCTTCCCACTCACCCAGGGGCCAGCAAGAATGGGGGAGTAGGTGGAGTCTCCTGAGGGGAAAGACCCATCTTGACAGTGGGACGGGGTACAAAGAAGCCCATGTTTATTTCTCCTTCTAACTTCTCCTACGGTAAACAGATGGGGGCGGGGTGCCGTTCTGTTACCATGGTGACAGGACACAGCAGCTCTATCACTTCGGCTGACTTCAAAACCCCTCTGTGGTCACAGCCACCCCTCCCCGGTCCCTGGCAACTACTCCGTCTTTCATCATTATAGTTTTGTCTTAAATGAGATCCTGCAGATCATAGCTACCACCGTGCCTTTGTGAATTATTTGAAGGAAAATGCAGAGAACAAGTTGTCAGCTGCACTGGGCTCCATGGTGTGGGCTTCTCTGCCAGCCGGCCAGGCCCAGCATCTCCAGTATGCCATACGGAGTTACTCCTGAGTTCTGGGGGGCTCTTCGCCTCGTCACTAGGAGTGTGAATTAGAAACCTCTTCTCCCAGGCCATGGCTTGTCACCTGGTGGGGCCGTATCTTTTAGTGAACAGAGGAAGTGTCTGACTTTGAGGACATCTAGTCATGCTCATCTTTAAAAAATCTCCTTTATGGTTTTTTCGGTTGGTTGATTTTTGTCTCCTAAGAAATTGTTGCCTGGCCAAGACTGAAGCCTCCTTCCTGTGTCTCCTGTTGGGTGCTTGCTCTGTAGTGGGGGCATTTGCATCTGTCAGCGATGCGCAAGCAGATTCATCTCTGTGCACGCTGTAGGGCAGGCAGCAAGGCCTCTTTTTCCCCCCATAAGAATGTCCAGCTGTATTACACGGGCTTCCCCCGTGAAGGGCTCTGAAGCCTTTGGCAACAACTGATAAACTGGATATGGATGAGTCTATTTCTGAATTTTTTTTTTTTTTTTTGCAGTAGTGGGGATGGAGCTCAGGACATTGTGCTTGGGAAGTAGTCATGGTGCCACTGAGCTAAATCCCCTGCCCTATTCTTGAACTCTTCATTTTACTGACTTGTTATTCTATATACATGCTATTTTGTTGTGTTTTGCTTTATTTGAGACAAGGTCTTGCTTTGTAGCCCAAGCTGGCCTTGAACTCATGGTGATCCTCCACTGCCTCAGCCTCCCGAGTGCTGAAGCAACAGGCGTGTGCCACCACACCAGGCCTTTTGTTTTCTGTTTTATTTTGTTTGTATGTACATGCTTTGACTCGCTATAGCTTTAACCTTAGCTTTAAATCAGGTCATGTGAGTCCTCCAACTTTGATCTTTTTCTCAACTTTTTCTTTCTTGGAGCTTGGGCATAACTCAGTTGTAGAGTGCTTGCCTAGCATATGTGAGGCCCTGAGTTTGAGCCTAAACACACACACACACACACATGCAAAATTCTTTCTTAGACATAGGGTCTTGCTCTGTTGCCCAGGCTCGCCTCAAACTCCTGGACTCAAGCAAGCCTGCCTCAGCCTCCCAAATTGCTGAGACTACAGGTGTGTACCAACAATGGCCAGCTAAGATTTTTTACTAAGTTCTTTAGATTTCGATATAAATTTTAGAATCAATTTGTCCATTTCTGCTCCTTAAAAAAGCTCCTAGATGGCGGGGAATTTAGTTCAGTGGTGCCACTGCCTGCCTTATAAGTACAAGGTCCTGAGTTCGTTCTCTGGTATCAAAAAACAAAACAAGGCCAGGTGTGGTGTCACATGCCTGTAATCCCAGCACTTGGGAGGCTGAGGCAGGAGGATCTCTCTGTGAGTTTGCGACCAGCCTGGGCTACACAGTGAGTTCTAGGTCAGTCTCAACTACATAGTGAGACCCTGTCTCAAAAACCTGAAAAAAATAAAAAAATAAAATAATAATAATTTCTAGAATTGTGATTGGCATTGAGTCAAATCTGTGAAACAGTTTAGGGAGAATTCACATCTAAACAATATTATCTTGGGCCAGTGATTTAGTTCAGTGGTGCTGCTGCCCACCTCACAAGTGCAAGGTCCCAAGTTCGATCCCCAGTACCAAAAAAACCAAAATAACAACAAAAATATTATCTTTCCACTCATGAACATGGAATGTCTTTCCTTTTTTTTTTTTTGTGACAGGAAACAAAGTGAGAACCCTCTGCTTGCCAGGCAGGTGCAATGCCTCTGAGCTACATCCCTGCCCTGTCTTTCCATTTTTAAGGTCTTTTTTTATTATTTATTTAGAGACGGGATCTTGCTATATAATTCAGGCTGGCCTTGCCTCAAATTTGCGGCAGTCCATCTGCCTCAGGCCTCCAAGTGCTGGAATTACAGCAATGTGGTACCATGCCCAGTTTAGGTCTTCTTTAATTTCTCAATAATGTGATTTGTACTGTAGATGTCTTGCATATCTTTTTTTGTTGTTGTTTGTTTTTTGAGACAGGGTCTCATTATGTCATTGAGACTAACCTGGAACTCACTATGTAGCCCAGCCTGGTCTCAGACTCACGGCTATCCTCCTGCCTCAGCCTCCCGAGTGCTGGGATTACAGGCATGTGCCACCACACCCGGCTTGCATATCTTTTGTTAAATTATTCCTTAGATATTTTATTTCTATGTGCTGTCACAAATGGCATTTTTAAAATTTTTCATCTTCAATTATCTGCTGCTGCTATATAGAAAAAATGTATTTTTTGTATGGTGATCAAGTGTCTTAAGATCTTGGAGATTTTAGTAATTTGTTCTAGTGACTTGCTTTTACACTGACTGGATTTTCTACCTTCACAATTACATTGTCAAAAGTAAAAATCATTCTTTGTTCCTTTTATACCTTTTGCTTATTTTCTTGCCTCATTTCCCTGGTTAGCATCACCAGTGCAGTGCTAAGTAAAAGAGACAGAGTAGACACCCCTGCCTTCTTCAATCTTAGAAGGAAGCATTTGATATTTTGTCTACTGTGTGTAGAGATGCTTCTTACTAGAGTGAGGAAGTTCCTTACTATTTTGTTTGCTGAAAGTTTTTACCATGAGGGGTGTTGAATTTTGCCATATACATTTTCGCACTCTATTGGGATTCATTCTATTATGAATGTATTGAGTACTGATTTTTTTTTTTTTTTGGTACTGAGAATCGAACTTGGGTCCTTGTGCTTTCAAGGCAGGCGGTGGAGCCACTGAGCTAAATCCCCAGCTGAGTCATACTGATTTTTAAAATGTTGAACTGATGTTGCATTTCTGGGATACATTTCATTTATTCAAGAAGCATTATCCTTTTTCTGTGTTAAGAACTAGTGTAATATTTTGTTGAAGACTTTTTGCATCAATGTCCATTGAAAATATTCATCTGTATCTTTCTTTTGCCTTACCTTTGGCAGGTTGGGTGCCATGGTTGTGTTTACCTAATATGTCAGAAGGGAAGGGTGTGTGTGTTTTTTTCCTTAAATATTTGCCAGGATTTGCCAGTAGGGCCCTCTGAGTACAAACTTTCTCACGTGGGAGGTGTTTTGCTCCTTAATTCACTTGTGTGCCTGTAAGCTCTGTCTTTACTTTTGGTTTTGAGATTAGTGTTTTCTCTAGTATTTTGCTTAATCATTCTTCTTAGAGGTTTATCAATTTTATTAATCTTAGAATGAATTTTGGCTTTTGGTTTTTCTTTACTGATTTTCTGTTTAACTAGTTTGTAGACTTTTTTTTTTTTCCTTTTAATTTCTTTCCTTCCACTTACTTTGGGCTTTATTTGTGTTTTTCAATCTTTTTTCTCCCTCCAGTGCCGGGCATCAAACCCAGGGCCTCCTACACATTATACAGTTTCTGTACCACTGAGCTGCATCTGTAGCTCTTCTTATTTTGAGACAGGGCCTATTGAAGTAGGGACTTGAGGGCAGGGGCTGCTGCTTCTGGAGTGTAGTGGCAGGGGATGGGGAGCAGCAGGGTCTGGTATAAGGCTGTAAAGCAATCTGAAGGTTTTTTGAGGGTTTTATCACTGCACGACCATGACCCCTCACACAATCTACCAGGGCAGAACAGAGACTCCCCGCCTGAGGGGCACCTTAGGACCCTGCATTGTTGGCCGCGGCCCTCAGTCCACTGGGCTGCCTCCCCTTGGTCCTGGTGGACACAGGAGGGCTGTGCCCAGCTGTGAACACCTGTCCTCCCCCAGCACCTGGCCACATTCATCATGGATAAGAGCGAGGCCATCACATCAGTGGATGATGCCATCCGGAAGCTGGTGCAGCTGAGCTCCAAGGAGAAGGTCTGGGCCCAGGAGATGCTGCTACAGGTCAGCGACCAGTCAGTGCGACTGCTGGACATCGAGACGCAGGTATGGGTGGGTAGAGGCTGGGCTGCTGTCCCCTGGGCCATATGTGTCAGGACCTCTCAGTGGGTCAGGCATTCGCTGCCATTCAGCGTGCGGAAGATAACAGGGCACAGGGCAGGCAGGGAAGATAGAACGGAGCTGAGAGTACCTCAGGGCAGTAGCAAGCACCTGGTCTGTGCCTTGGGCATTTGTGCAACTATGACCAGGCCTGGTAGTGTCCTTGTCTGTACCCCTGGGCCACATCTGGGCCTTATCTGTTTGTCCCTTTTCTGTGCCTGTGGGCAACGTGTGTCTGTGTCCAAGGACCAGACTATGCTGTGCCCACAAGGGGGTCTGTGGCTGTGGCATTGGTCCTTTTCTTGGCCACATCTGTGTCTGCTGTGTGCCAGGGCCACAGTCCAACCCCGTGTCCAGGGCTGCACTGACCCTGCCGCCTGCCCCCAGGAGGAGCTGGAGAACTTCCCACTGTCCACAGTGCAGCACAGTCAGACGGTGCTCAACCAGCTGCGCTACCCCTCGGTGCTGCTTCTGGTGTGCCAGGACTCCGAGCAGAACAAGCCCGACATCCATTTTTTCCACTGTGATGAGGTGGAGGTGAGGCAGCAGACCCTGGGTGGGAGACACAGTGCACGCTGGGCAAGCCTGATGCCCCTGTGTCCCCAGGCTGAGCTGGTGCAGGAAGACATCGAGAGCGCACTGGCCGACTGCCGGCTGGGGAAGAAGATGCGCCCGCAGACCCTGAAGTAGGGCCATGGGCCAAGGGAAGCCAGGGTTCTCCCTAGGGTGGAGTGCAGGGGGCAGGAACAGTGGGGGACAGCCTAGTGGGGGTGGTGGCCAGGCTGAGCCGGCTCCCATTTCCCTTCAGGGGACACCAGGAGAAGATCCGGCAGCGGCAGTCCATCCTGCCCCCTCTCCAGGGCCCAGCCCGCATCCCGTTCCAGCGCCAGGTGGGGGACTCCCCTCCTGCCAAGAATCGGGTGGGTCCCCCGCTGCCACTCCAAGACCCAGGTAGGCCAGGGGCTGTCGGGGTGGCTCTCAGGGTCTGGGGAACCTCGTCACAGCTGCTCTGTCCCCAACCAGGCTTCCGTCGCCGCGAATCACAGGATGAGGAGCCGCGGGCCGTGCTGGCCCAGAGGATAGAGAAGGAGACGGTGGGTATCCACCCCTGGGGGGCTCCCTGTCTGCACCCCGCCTGCATGGCTGAACCCCCCTCTGACCCCAGCAAATCCTCAACTGTGCTTTGGACGACATCGAGTGGTTCGTGGCCCGACTGCAGAAGGCGGCAGAGGCTTTCAAGCAGCTGAACCAGCGGAAGAAGGGCAAGAAGAAGGGCAAGAAGGGGCCGGCAGGTGCTGCGCTGTGGGGCAGGCGGGGGCACCGCGCCCGGCGGGAGGGGAGGCCCAGGCTCACGCCCCCGCGTCCCCCGCAGAGGGCGTCCTCACGCTGCGGGCGAGGCCCCCCTCCGAGGCCGAGTTCGTGGACTGCTTCCAGAAAACCAAGCTGGCCATCAACCTGCTCGTGAGTGCGACCTCATCCTGCGCGGCGGGGAGGGAAGGGAAGAGGGACCCCGCCTGTCCCCGCTCACCCGCCGCTCCCGCCAGGCGAAGCTGCAGAAGCACATCCAGAACCCCAGTGCGGCGGAGCTGGGGCACTTCCTCTTCGGACCCCTGGACCTGGTGCCTGGGGCGGGACCCTTGTGGGCGGGGCCGAGGCGGGTGGACGCGTCTGGGCAGCCCCCTGGGTAGCCACTTCCGCCTTGTTGCCCGCCGCCCAGGGCCCACCTGCGGAGCTGCTTGTGGGTTCGGTGTGTGGGCGGCTGGGTTCGACACGGTGGGTGCGCCGATCTGACCCGCGCTGTGCCCCAGATTGTCCACCCCTGCGGAGGCCCGGACCTCGCACGCTCGGTCACCAGCCCCTTGCTCTCCCGCGATGCCGTGGGCTTCCTGCGCGGCCACCTGGTCCCCAAAGAGATGTCGCTGTGGGAGTCACTGGGGGAGACCTGGACGCGGCCCCGGTGCGGAGGTGGCGGCAGGGCGGGGTGAGGGGCCCCGGTGGGCCAGCTCCGGAGGTCGCGTCTGACCCAGGACTATCCTTCAGATCCGAGTGGCCGCGGGAGCCGCAGGTGCCCCCCTACATGCCCCAGTTTCACAGCGGTTGGGAGCCACCCTTGGAAGTGCTGCAGGAGGCGCCCTGGGAGGTGGAGGGGCCCGCATCGGCACCGGAGGGCCAGGTCAGAGCCGCCAGATCCGCTCCTCCCACCCTGGCCTGGGCATCTGGTCCATGTGCTAGGTGTGGGCCTTTGCCAGGCCCTGTCCTGGGACCCCACCTGTCATTGCCTTCCTCCCGGGCCCCCTCCCCACATCAACCCCAGGCTACCACTTTCCCCACAGCCAACCCCAGGGCGCAGACTGTCTGCACGGAGCTCCCCAAAGAACATCCTGGGTGAGCCCACAGCCCCAGGTGATGCCCTGCCACCAGCCAGCTCCCCCCTCACTCACAGGTGAGCCCCTTTAGGGCACATGGGCATATGCTGCCATCAAGGTGGCAAATACCTCATCTGGCTGGCCAAAAATGCTGCTTTTGCCAGGCATGGTTGCACATGTTTGTAATCCCAGCACTCGGAAGGCTGAGGCAGGAGGATCTCAGTGAGCTCGAGGCCAGTCTGGGCTGCATAGTGAGTTCAAGGCCAACATGAACTACAGATCGAAACACTGTCTCAAAAACAAAACAAAACAAAACAACCTTTTGGAGATTAGAATCTGGTTTCATTTTATTTTTATAACTATTAAAAGTAAAAAAAATTTAATCATACATGAATTTACTGCCCTCAAACACTGGCTCTCTTTTAAAGCTCATGTTTATGTGATAATCAAGATTAGAGACTGTACCCTTGACTTTGGTGGCTTCACCAAGCACCACTGTCTCTCTGTGGGGCTATAGAGACTGATTTTATTTTTAGGGGTGGGATACTGGGGAACAAACGAGGGCTTTTGGCTTGAGCTACATCCCCAGCACCCCTCCCCTTTGTTGAAATGTGTTCTCAATAAATTTGCTAAATTGGACAAACTAGGATTGAATTGTCCATCCTCCTCCTCAGCCTTCCAGATGTGAGAGTGATTTAGGCCCAGTCTCCAGTACAGCCATCAGGGGAGTCCAGGGGTCTGGGCTAGCACAGCTCCCTCCTTACACTGCCCACCCCGGGTGGAGTGGTGGCCCCTTCGCCTCTCCCTCCTCTGCGTTCTTGCTGCTGGCCCCTGGTCTCTCTGGAAGCCTGTCACCTTCCTGCCCCCAGGGTCTGGTTTCAGGAGGGAAAGGTCAGAGACCTGCATCGCACACAAGCCTGCACCTCCCCTTGTGCCTGCAGGGCCCACACACACATATTTCCAGTGACCATACGTCCCGAAGCCCCTCCGCTCCACAGTGCCCTGTCTAGAGCCCCCTGGGTGGTCAGATGAGCTGGCCTCCCTCACAGGGCTGGGCTCAAGTCCCTGAAGCTCCAGGCAGTGCTCTCTGCACCTGCACAATCTCCTGGCTCCAACTCCCCTGCAGCTGTGGGCTGGGCCACTCAGGCCCTGTCCCGCCCCTCCGCTGCCCCACCTCCCGCTGACAGTGCAGCCTCTATCCTCTGTACCACACCGCACCATCGCACTGCCCGGGCAGCAGAACGCACCGCCGGGCAGCAGAACACAGGCAGTCGGCGCCTGGGGAGCTGCTGCCCCGCCCTGGAGGAGACCCCAGCCCAGCCTAGGCCTCAGCCCTACTGGTACTTGGTACTCACAGGGGCTATCAGCCAACCCCAGCCATGGCCAAGTATGTGAAGGTCCTCTACGACTTCACAGCTCGCAACGCCAATGAGCTCTCAGTGCAGAAGGATGAGGTCTTAGAGGTGAGGGGCCCTCTGCCTGGGGAGCTGGGGGTCTGGGGCCAGGTGTGGGACGCAGGGTGGTGCATGTGCCCAGGGTCCCCAGCACCAGGTTCGGCGAGGTCCACGGGCTGGGCCTCCTGACTCGGGCATGGCAGGCTGAGGGGATCTCTGTGTGGGGACCCCCTGGCATGTAGGACCCCCATGCCACCCCACAGGCTTTGTGGCAAGGGTGCCTCCAATGCAGCCCAGGTGGGGCTTGTCACACCGCACCGAGAGCTTGCATTTGTGCCAAACCTGAATCCAGGCCACCCACCGAGGGACAGAAAATGGAGCGGGGTGGGGGTGGGTATACTGCTACAGCCCGGCCACGAGGCCCCTCCCTTCAAGGCCCGCTCCTGGTGGGCCGGGTGCTGGCCGAGGGGAGACCCCCGGAGGGGTGGCCTGATGGGTGCGGGGGCGTCGGGGCCCCCAGGTACTGGAGGACGGGCGGCAGTGGTGGAAACTGCGTAACCGAAGCGGCCAGGCTGGCTACGTGCCCTGCAACATCCTGGCAGAAGCCCGGCCGGAGGAAGTCAGCGCCCCCTTGGAGCAGGTGGGTGCCCTGGGTATCATGCCCCATTCCCATCCGGAGATTTGAACCAAGGAGGAAGGAAGGGCAGGTCCTGGGGAGCCGACAGCCTCCACCTCACCCCTTTCCTGTTTCCTCCCTCGCAGGCCGGTCAGAGATTCTGGGGTCCCGCCAGCCCAACCCACAAGCTGCCCCCAACCTTCGCGGGGGACAAGGATGGTGAGCTGCAGATGCAGTGGGGCGGGGCCGAATGCTGTGGGCGGAGCTCGAGTGAGGGGCTGGTCTGAGTGCTCGCCCACCCGCAGAGCTGATCCACCACATGGACGAGGTGAACGACGAGCTGGTGAAGAAGATCAGCCACATCAAGGCGCAGCAGTCGCGGCCCTTCCGCGTGGAGCGCAGCCAGCCCGTGCGTCTGCCGCTCACCTTCGAGTCGGGGCCGGGCGAGGTCCGCGCCTGGCTGGAAGCCAAAGCCTTCAGCAGCCGGTGAGCCGCACAGGGCGGAGGGGGTGACAGGAGGCCCAGGTGTGCGCAGGTGGGCTCAGGTGAGCGAGTGCGGGCGCCAGGCTGCCGTGCCAATCATCCTGCTCTCCTGCTCCCCCACAGCATCGTGGAAAACCTGGGCATACTGACCGGACCCCAGCTCTTCTCGCTCAACAAGGACGAGCTGAAGAGGGTGTGCGGGGAGGAGGGCATCCGCGTGTACAGCCAGCTCACAGTGCAGAAGGCTGTCTTGGAGGTGAGCGCCCCGTGCCCCTCTCTCTGCTCCCCCCACCCGGGGCTGACACGCAGCCCAGCTGAGACCCTATCCATTCTCCTTAGACGCAGCAGAGCGGGTCAGAGCTGGAGGAAGTCATGAACAAGTTTCATTCCAAGAGCCAGAGGAGGGTGGACAGCTAGACCTGGCTGCATGGTCACCTGGCTTCGCAGAGGGCTGTAGCCTGTGCTGGGCCCACCCCACACGTGGGGTGTTATCTTTATAGGTGGATTATTTTATACCAAGGACTTGGGGGCCAAGTGGGGGTCACCTGTGTCCAGGCCAGGCCTGGCCAGGCTCCTCTGCCAACCCCAGCCCACAATGCCCATATCAAGGACCAGAGCCAGCCAAACCTGTGCCCACCCCTGGGCCCTCAGCCACCTGTCCCAGGCCACAGAACTCGTAGGGGATGGGTCTCTTCCTTTGGCCTTCTGTACCTGGAATGCTCCTGGCCGCTGTGATGCCGACTTCCAGGCTGCTGACTTCTCCATCTACCTGTCCATCTGACTCCACAACCCAAGAAGGGTTGGAGCTCAGAGCAGGCTGGGCTGTGACCTGGGCTCCAGATTTCTCCCCCACCCCACCCCAGGTATTGCTTGGACAGGGGCTCCAGGACAGGACCCTGTCAAGGTCTGAGGGTAGACTGGACACGAGGACTGACTGCAGACGCCCACCCCACGAAGCCCAGGAAGGAGCTTCCCCTGACCCTGACCATGTCCCAGGCCAGTGGAGCCTGGCCACTGTGCTGGTGGCTGTGCCTTGGGGCCATGGACTGAGTGTCACACTCAGAGAAAGGCAACGAGCATCAGTGGCCATGTCATTAAAACAGGTGTCTCCTTGCAGCAGAGTGTCTGTCTCCTAGGGGTGGGGTCCAGGGCTCCCCAGGGCTGCATCACTTCTGAAAACTCAGGCCAAGAGCTAGGGGTTTAGCTCAGTGGTTCTGCTGTCTGCCTCGCAAGCGCAAGGACCTGAGTTTGATCCCCGGTACAAAACAAAAACAAAAACAAAAACAAAAAAACTTCAGGCAGATGGCAGGGGTTGGAAAAGCTGAGGACCCTGGGGGATATTTCGGGAGGTGACAGGCTGCAGGGACCTAGGAGATTGACCCCCTGCACACCTGTCCACACCCCTTGCTGTGATCCTCCTAGGCCAGCATCAGAGGGCCCAATCCTATCACCCAGGATAGCTCTGTGGGGCACCTACCAGGTCTTGGGGGCCTAGGAGGAACGTGGGGCCTGAGGACCCAGAAGACAGTGAGGGGCATCCCTGGCTGCTCCCTGCACACACTCTGAGGGGCACCCAACCACGAGGAGGCCCTCGGCGCCCTCTGCTGGCCATTCTGGGTGTTGCCCAGGTGGCCACCAGAGGGCACCCCAGCCCCCGTGTAAGTGTGGAGGGCTGGCTTGTGTGTCCCCAGAGCTGACTAGTGACCCAGCCCTGGTGTAAAGGTAGGTGCCTGGTGAGCCGTGATGACTGCAGGGTGCAGGTTAGGTTTGGTGGGGCCAGATGTGGAGGTCATATCTATGTGCCCTGGCTGGTCCGCCACCAGACCAGCAAGGCCTTGGAAGCCCCCTCCTCACATTCTGACCAGCAGGGTCCAGTCATGGGGTCTTGTGAGTACCTTGTGTCCTCCAAACCATGACCTGGATGTGTTGGCCACTGCCCCCTCAGGCCTAAAGAACAGTTTATCTTACTGTCTGGACAGCAACTTTGGCCCGGCCCAGTGGAAAAAGAGGAAGATGGGCTGAGAACAGTTTTCCTCAGGGCAGCGATGGCCTGGGCACCACCCTGGTCCCCCCCAGCCCCAGCCACCTGGTCCCCCCCAGGGTAGTCTGGGGTTCCAGATGCTACTTCCAGGCTTGGGAATCCAGAACCTGCACCTGCTTTCTCAGCCACCCCAAGCCCCAGGCTGCCACCTTCTCTGTCCCCACATGGCCTCCTGGATAGCTGGGGAGGCCCCAGACCTATGAACCCAAGGGGCTCCCCCTCCCCAGGCACAGATCTCTGAGCTCCTACAAGTTGCTCCTGTTGTTCCAAAGGGATCTGTCACCTCCCGACCCTCTCAGGAACTGGACAGGGACACAGACCCCTCTGCCCACGGGTGGGTACAAGGTCACCAAACATCAAGGCCACCCACCCAAGGTGTGAGGAACCATTCCACTGTTTATTCTCAGAGTATCACTACCCAGGGCTTGAAGACTAGAGGGTGACAAATTGTCAGCATGCACTGAGTGTGTCCTTGGCTTCTGGGTGGTCACAGCAGAGGCTGGAGAGAAAGGCCTGGACCAAGAGCAAGGTATGGAGGGGCCAGGTCTACTGGCTGGAGTTCAGGCCAGTGTCCCTAGTTCCAACAGTGCCTGCCCCAGCGGGACCCAGATTGCAGAAGGTCTGACCATGGGGACCAGAGAAGAGGCTACAGCTCTGAATCCCAGACCTCAGGGAGGGTGGCCCAGAGCTCTGTGCCCCAGCTGTACCACTGACAAACTCCATGAAGGCCCTTCTATCTGGAGATAGGCAAGTCCTTGTGGCCACCCACAGCAGGCCTCGGCCACCCTGCTAGGACACCCTGGATGCAAAGGGCTCCTCTTGCCATTCTGAAAGGTCTTTTCTTGCTTTTTAGAAACTTCATAACAGAGTAGTGGCCTCCCCAAGAAAAAAAAGTAGCAAGATGGGGTGATATCCCTGGCCCAGTGCAGACAGCTGCTAGCTGGGGATGTGGAAGTGGGTGGCGGCAGCCATGCAATCAGTGGGGAGACTCAGGACACAGGCGGTGCTGAGATAGTGTTCTATACATGAAGAAGCAGAATCCCCACTGCCCCCCAAAAGTGAATGAGCCCCAGAAGTACTGGGGTACTGGGATAATGACTTCCCCAAAAGCCCAGGGAGAAGGTGGAGAGTACCTGAGAGACAGGGAAGGACGCTGGTGCCAGCCATGGAACAGCATGGGTTAAGGCTGACTCGGTGGCCCAGGACTTGCTCTCCTGGGGTGTGTGGACCGCTGGGGTGCCAACCAGTGAGGACAGCCTGGCCTCAGTTAATATGGGAGTCAGCAGTGGAGCACCCAGCTCCATTGTCAGCACCTGTGCTAAGTGTTAACACCCAAGTGGGCTCAGTACCTTGCCCCCTGGAGGATCTCACCAGGGCCTGGGGCAGCAGGGTAAGCTCTGGGGTCCAGCTGGCTTCAGGTGGGTGTCTGGATTGGGCAAATTGGAGACATAATGGCTCAGGGCCAATAGACAGGAGCAGGGTTTGACATCAGTGTGGGCTCAGGTCCTGAGCAACCATTTTCAGGAAGTTTCCAAATAAACAAGGCCCCTGCAACCTCCTGTCTGCTGTGAGCTTCCTGCTCTGTTGTGGGCAGGGCAGGACTTACTCTGACAAAGGTTGTACTACAGTTGTTTATTTATTTATTTTTTGCTACCAGGGATTGAACTCAGGACCTTGTGCTTGTGAGGCTGGCATTGGCACCACTGAACTAAATCTCCAGCCCTGCAGTTGTTTTAAAAGGAATGGATCCCAGCAGGCCAGGCCATTTGCCTATAATCCCAGTACTCAGGAAGACTGAAGCAGGAGGATCAAAAATTCAAGTCCTAGGGCCAGGGATTTGGCTCAATGGCAGCGCATTTGCCTCCGAAGTGCAAGATCCTGAGTTCAATCTCCAGTTCCAGGAAAAAAAATATAAATAGAGTTCTGCCAAGGCAATTTAGCAAGACCCTGTCTCAAAATAAATCAATGCGGGCTGGGGATGTAGCTCAGTGGTAGAGCACCTGTGAGTTGGATCCCAGGTCCACACACACAAAAGAATGAACATGCACCGTCTTGGTCCATTTTCTGTTGCTATGATGTGCGCTGGGCCCTTCCATAGTCATAGCCCTGCTCCTGGTCACTGGCTCTGCCCACTGAGCTGTAGCCAGCCCTTCAGACTCCCATCCTAGCTCATCAGTGCCTCAGGAAGCCGCTCCATGCTGAAGAATCGCTCAAGGGCCCAGCATTTCTGTGTGGCTCCATCTATCCACATTTACTGTGTCAAAAAATAAAACAATTCGAGAGCACGCATGTGCTGTGGTCTGAACACATCCCTAAAGTCCTTGTGTTGTGAGCTCAGCACCACCCTGGGACAGCAAAGTTAGGGCCACCTCAGGCTGTCCGGGCGGCATGCACCTTTCCTCTTCTCCCAACACCAGGGTTCTCTAAGGTATACAGACAGGTTCACTGAGCCAGGACAGGGCTGGCAAGACGGGACTGGGTCCTGGGCCAGGTTCTTCAGTCACCAGTACCGGCAGCTACAGCTGGGCATGGCCACCAGACCAGAGCTGAGGTATTGTGTCCACCGGGGAGAGGACAACATGGTGACCTACAATGGCCATGACAGGAGCTCAGGGTAGGGGTCCCTGTGGCCTCCAGGCAGGGTCTTTGGCCAGGATGGGCCTTAAACCATGGTTTCAAGGTAAAGTTGTTGTTGGGCTGTTAAGGATTAACTGATTTCTCTTCCCCTCCTGCATTTGTCATTAAATTCAGGAAATGTCTTTGTTTTGGGTTTTTGTTGTTGTTTGTTGTTTTGGTACTGGAGATCAAACTCAGGACTTGGCGTTTGCAAGGCAGGAGTGGTGCCGCTGAGCTACACCCCAGCCCGGGACATATCAGTTCTGAGCATGGTGCTGTACACTGTGACCTCAGCACTTGAAAGGCTGAGGCAGGAGAATCATTGCAGCTCGAGGCTAGCCTGGGCAACATAGTGAGCTCAAGCCAGCCTGAACTATGTACAGTCTGTCTCAAAAAAAAAAAAAATAGTAAAATAATAAAATAAAACAAAAATCCCCCCAACGTCTCCTGTGTTTGGAAGGTAATTGGTTTATTGGTGCTGTACTCAGCACTGGGTTCGTCCACTGATGAGTCCATAGTCAAGTGTGCTATTAGAAGTGGCACTTGGTTGTTGGTCACTGGGTAGGACCTGAAAGGTGTGTTCTTGTCCCTGCTCCCCTTTCTTTCTGCTTCCTGGTAGCCATGGAGTGAGCAGCTTCCCTCCACCAGGCCCTTCCACCACTGAGCCAGCTGGCCATGGACTGACCCCTCTGAACCCATGAGCCAAAGCGACCCTCCTCCTCAGGTCCTGGTGTTGGGTATTATGTCTCCCCTGTCTTGGCTCTGCTGGCTGCTACCATCTTTTCCAGCCCAGCTCCCAAGGGCCTCACCAGAGCTGTTTGCTGGGTGAAAGGGTAGCCTTGGTGTCAACTCCCATGGCTATTGGCTGTCCCACCCCCCCATCATGTTTGGCCGCACCAGATTGGGTTCACTTAGCTGTTGTCCTGTTTTATGTCCTCTGTGCCTCCTGTGTGTGGCCACCAGGCCTTGCAGTGATCATGGTCCAGTGGTACAAGTGTTCCAGACCCTCCCTGTGCATGCCTGGCTCCTGGATACTGCCCCAGGAAGCCCCTGCCTGCTGATTTCCACCTGGGAGAGGGCTCCTACCTGGGCCCCTGCAAAAGAGTGGTCTGTGCACCCCACCTGCATGCATGGAACAGGGTCAGGGCTTAAGGTGCCCAGGGAGAGGCTGTCCCCTCATCCCACCTGTCAGAATCCAGCTACACGTGGTCCTCCTGCCCTGCCCAGCTCCATGCAGAGCAACTTGCCCAGCCTGCACGAGGCCCTGTGCTTCTTCCCAGCCCCCCCAAAACTCAACAGAATGGCAAAAGCAACAGAAATACAGGTCATAGGAAGCCACTGTTTGGGACAAGTTTGGGACAGGCCCCAAGAGACCAATAAAGCACCAAATCGGTGACCTGGCTAAAGTTCCATGTCACCAAGCTAAAGCTGTTTGTTATCCAACTTTCCTGGAAT